TCCAACAGCTGTTTAATGTCAGAAAGATCTGCAGTAATAAAAAAATAATAATAAGTGGGAGCATCATGAATGAATCATAAACGAAATAAGTCTCTGTAGTGAGGAAAAAGAAAAGGGATCAGAGAAAAGCAAAGTTCTACCCTCAGAGAGTGGTTCTAACTTTTCAAATGGGAGAACCAATACATTGTCTTTGCTATCCGTCTTGCTTTGGTCGGATAATTGGACATCCTCTCTTCATATGCATATACAATTGAAATAAGAAATTCAAAAAACAATAAATTAATGACCAGACTTTCCCTGATCGATACAAGAATCTATCACGGCTATCCTAAGAGACAAAGTATCCATGTTATTCATTGAACTCACATTTTACACTTAATCTACTAATGCAAACAAGAACAAATATTCACTTTAACCCCTAAATTCCTAAAGACTCAAACTCTTAAACTAAGATGGTCCACTGGTTGAAGGAAAAAGAACTTTGATACATCAGACAGAACAATCTCCATTCAAAAAAAGGTTGCTCCTTGAACAAATGTGATGGGACAAATATGAAACCAAAAAGAAAATTACACCCAAACTTCAACACAGTGATAATAAAATTGACATAATTGCACTTACCGAGTTTCGGGTTTGCCAGCATTCAACCTCTTCTGCTCATAAAGAAACGTCTTGGTAATCAAATTGCAGAACAAATAGACAAATCGGGCAGAATCATTCGCAGGCACAGGGTATGTGATCTTCTTGAAAGTTTCCCATGGCGTGCTGGAGTCAACTAGCCCGACAACCGGAATTTGCAGCCTATCAGCCTCGTCAATGACAGAAGACTTCCTGTCAGAGTCGAAAATCACGATGCAATCGGGAGGATGGACGGCGGTGAGGTTGAGCTTCTTGTTGCGGCCCCGGAACTTCCGTGGGCTAGAACTGTTCGTCAAAAAGCCTCCGAGACGCCAGGACGTGTCGTTCCGGCAGCCGATGGTCTTCGTCATGTTGTCGATGATGTCGTCGTAGAGTGAGTTGGTGTTGACGAAGATGAATCGGGCCCTGTTGCGGACGAGGCTGCCGATGAAATTGCAGGCGCTGCGGAGGCAGATGAGCGTCTTGTCGGGGTCGATGATGGTCATGGCGTTCCGGGTGCCGGCGGAGTAGATCTTGAAGTGGTTCTCCGCCACGCGCTTCCCCAGGTGGGCATTTATGCTGAGGAGTTTCTGGATTAGTACTGAGTGTATCGGCATTTCTGGGTTCCGGCGGCGCTGAATGATAATTACTAGATCGACTGCTAGTGTGATGATCGAGTTCTGGGTAGAAGAGTCATCACCGGAGCTTTGCTCTGTGCTCGATCGGAATCGAGATGATAAACGGAGACGAACCGACGAAAGAGTCGCAGATTTGCAGGGTTTAAGAGTTTTTCATTTCTTTTTTTTTTACTATCTAATCTTTTTAAAATTAATTTACACAATTAATTTTTTTTCTAAAACATTAACGTTAAATCAAATTTTTTGTTCCTAAAAAAATCATTTTCATTTCCATTTCCTTTTTTATTCATTTAATAAAATAGTAATATGTATACTTGCCATTTTGCAACCATTTTAGTTTAGTTTTTAAATATATTTTTTATATTTAAAATTTTATTTCTTTCATCCCAATTTAAACTCTCTGGTCAAAATAATATCGATTAGTTTACTTGTTTTCATTGAATATTAAATAAAATAAATAGTAATGTCAAATCTTGTTTTGAATTTGATGTAGTTTTTTAATTCTACTCTACTTTTTACATAATTTCATATAAAACTAATTTCATCCAAACATCATAAACAATAATATACTACTTAAAATATTAGAATTTTTTTAAACTAAAATGAAAATAATTTTTGTCGCTTAGCACATATCATAATTCAGAGGCAAAATTATTTTTGAAACAAAGAGAGTATTTATAATTATCCACAGAAGAAGAGAATATTATTATAGACTTAGTCGACATTATTGAAATTGTCGCATAAATTTTATAGTATATATTTTTTAATTTTTATTTTATATATATATATATATATATATATATATATATATATATATATATATATATGTATGGGATTGACTCCAGTCAGATGACATGTTTCGGTCAGATGACACTTTCGGTCAGATGACAACGTATGGCTCTTTCTGAATCAACGTAGCGCTCATTCTAAAATAATGTAGGATTCATTCTCACACAACTGTTCATCACAATGTAGTGTTCATTCCAAGTCAGCAAGACGACAACATATGGTTCATTTTGAATCCATGTAGTGTTCATTCTAAGACATTGTATGGTTGATTTTCACACATTTGTTTATTATAAACGTAGTACTCATTCTGAAACAACCTAGTACTCATTCACAGTCTGCTCAGTGTAGTGTTCATTCTGAAATAAGGTGGTGCTCATTCTCAAACAATGTGGTGCTCATTGCCTCATTCTGAAGCATGTCATCTGACCGAAACTGTCATCTGATCGAAAGATGTCATTTGACTAGAGTCAATCCATATATATATATATATATATAGCGGTTCCCGTGAGAATGCACCTTGTGGAGAGAAATGAGAATAAAATCTAGCCGTTGGATTTGATGCATCGTGCGGCTCAAATTGCATCCTGCGCTCAGATTTTGAGATAGTGCATTCTCAAAGGATTTTGATGCATTTCGATGTGATGCATTTTCAAACCATTTTGGTGCATCTAATTTTGATGAAATCTTGACCCTTAGATCTCACAATCTAAAGCACCAGATTCATTCTTATTTCTCTCCTAAGATTGCATTCTCACCAGAATCAATATATATATATATATATATATATATATATATATATATATATATATATATATATATATATATATATATATATATTTATTTTTATATATATATATAGACACACACACACAATTCAATTATGGGGTCACTCTGTTAGCATTAGTCCTTACGTATGATACTCATTTGAAATATTAACAATTTCTACTCTTCCTAAACTCAAGTAAACCCCCACCTCAATTGAAAAGAGTGCAAGGGTGAGTTCGGATCAAGTCGGGATGGAAAGGTTTACCGAAGGTATTACGTGAGGAAAGAATAAATTTTTAAACGGGACATCATAGCTCAGAGGTGATCAACTAGGTTCAATGTTATCTCATTACATTGGAATCCAATTCAAGGTAACTAATCCGTTCAATTATTCAGACTCTATAATCCAAACTTCAATTATAGTAAATAAAACTAAAGTACAAAAGTTTAGATGTTGTTTCAACTCGATCCTCATGTGCCATTAATTTTTAACATTTTTTCCATACATGAGATAGATGGCAAGCACGACCACGCATAATATATGTTAGTTAATTTAAAAAATTCCAATTTGCTCTTTTTAGTGATTGACCGACCGAATTTGAAGGAATTTTTGAGGATTAGTTCATTCTTTTAGTTAATTAAAACATTATTATGATTTGTCCCGTCCAAAACTAAGTTATCATCTCATTTTAATGATTTAGGGATCTTGATTTTTGAATATGAGAAGTCGAGAATTCATTATAGTACTCCGTATTATTATCGTTGTTGTAATAGTTAATTAAAATTTTCTAATTCTCCTTTTTTAGTGGTAGTTTGGCCATATTTGAAGTTAGAGATGGAGCTCATCCTTTTAATGAATTTAAAAATGATTATAATGATCTCTCACAAAGTTAAGTTCACTTCAAAAATTTTGTTTTTTAATACGAGAAGTCAAGAACTCTTTTATAGTTTTATTATTATGATTATTGTTATTGTTATTGTTATTGTTATTGTTATTGCTATTGTTGTTGTTGTTTTTGTTGTTTTTGTTGTTCTTATTATTATTATTATTATTATTATTATTATTATTATTATTATTATTATTATTATTATTATTATTACATGGAAAAAACCAATTAAACTTGTTGTTATTCCATTATGCATGCAGAGTTATGCTCCAATTTATTGCTTCGTACAATACATAGGCCGGAGTTCTCTACTGCAACATGTTGATCTTGACCCACGAGCAATGGGCCACACCCCTCTTGGTTTATTATTATCCGGCCCAATTCTTTTGAAAATGCAAATTAAACGCCTAAATAAGCAAATGAAATGACCCTGCAAAATTAAATAATTAATTAATGACCTATAAGTAATTATTAAACACTTCAAACTATTAGCAAGTAAATATGGTCTATTTTGAAAAGACAAAAAAAGCTAAACAAATTTAATGGAATAAAAATTCAAAAAGTACCAACTTAACTAGTATATTTAGGCAAGAGTGATATTTAATGTAGGTGAAATTTGGATGTTATTCTCTTATTGTATCATTACTTTTTAAAATTAAAATTATATGGGATGGATAAATTGGTAATAAACAAATATGATATGACATGTAGTTTAATAATCATTGTAATATGGAATAATACCCCATCCGTTCCATTAAATCTTTCATCTTTCATTTTTTTCAATTTTCTAAAACACTCCAACTTTCTATTAAAATCACATTTTTACTCATGCTTTTTCATAGTCTATCTATCATATCATACTTTTTCACTAATAACCAAATTATCACATCTTATTTTTACTCATCACATCAGGGGTAAAATTTGAAACTCAACCAAAAATAAACTTTCTTTATTTTGGCTCAAAGTCAAAATGAAAAAGGTTTAATGGAACAGAAAGGGATCGATTTAGTATTTGTCTGGTCTTGATTTTTTGTATTTAAAATTGACAAACTCCAAAGCTTAGCCGAAATGGAATGATTTTTTCTGTTTTGAAAGAAGTTCTGTTTTGAAAGAAGTATGGAATGATTTAAATGTAATATGAAGAACTTTTTTGAGAATTTGTTTGATAGAAATAAGATCTTAAATAGCTTAGCTTCTTCCAACAAAAATGAATTATTAGGAAATAAGAAAATGTGATTATAATATTCCCTCCGTCCCACAAAATATTACTCATTTTAATGTATTTTTGGTGAAACAGTTACATATTTTGACCATAAATTTAGTATAATATAAATAAAAAATGTTATAAAAATTTGATATATATCAAAAATAGATCTTAAGAAAAATCCAATTATATTAAATTTGTATTATAACTCAAAATATTTTTTTCATAATTTGTAGTCAAGGCATAAGCATGTAATTATTTAACCAAATACTATTCAAAATGGGTAATGTTTTGTGGGACGAAGGAAGTAACAAAATGGCCTGAAAAGAAAAGGAGTGGTCGGCGAGGATACTTGCTGCAGTCGACGTCCGGCGAGAGAGGGATAGGGAAGTTGACGTTGCAGTCGCCGGGAAGCTTCTTGGCGCGGTCCAGATCATATTTCACCTGTTTGGAGGCATCCTTAAGACACTGGCAGGCAGTCTTCTTGTCCGCCGGAGAACTTATGATGCCCGCCAGCGATCTAAATCCGGCACAGCACATCACGGGCGGGGGCGGCGAGCCCCCTCCCGTTAGGTACAAAGCGCATGGCTGCATGAGGGTAATCACGGTGGCGCAAGTGATGGCGGCGCGCGATGGTGCCGCCGTGAGTACGAGAAGAATGGCACAGAGTGCGGTGGTGATCGACGGCGGCGCTGCCGTTGGCCTCGGAGAACCCGCCACCTTCATTTGTATATGTTTAGACTCAAAGTGATTAATTAAGGATTTAAGGTAGAGTCTAATGTCCAATTCCATTGGTATTTATATATACTCCTTGATCACCTCCATCCTCAAAGATTTTCCTATTATAAATTATGAAGAAATTATGATGGTTGATTAAATTTATTTTTTTTTAATTTATATATTAATAAATATCTCTTATAAAATTTAAACTATAAATTCTACATTTAAAACTATATCAATAATTCTTATAAAACAAAAATTGAAAACACTATGTTATTTTATCAAATACTCCATACACCGTAAGTAATAAAATTAAGAAAAAAAGTACTCTTTATGGGTAATTATACTCTCATCTGAATGAGTGAATACTCTACTTGCTCTTGACTATTTGTCCATTTCTTTTATTTTTTTGCTCAAAATTGGTAAATTTTAGTATCAAATTAAACAAAAATAATATTATATATTGATACAAAAAATAATTTTATTGGATTTATTGTATACGAGTAAAATACTTTCAATATATTATGTTGTCTAATTAATACTTCCTCCGTTCCAAATTTGATTATAAATTAGGAGTTATGAGACAGTTTAATTTCCATCTTTTGAAATTATTTTATTTACATTAGTACATAAATAAGAAATAAAAATTACATATTAAAAAATTACGTTAAAAATTCTACAAAACAAGAGGTGACAAAAATATTTTATTTTATCAAATACTCAATGAAAATACACAAATAAACAACAGTTATCGAGAGAAGAGACAAAAAAATTGTAATCTATTTTGGATTTAATACATTTCCTCCATTTCATAAAGATGTTCCCATTTTGACATTTAGGAAATTTAAAGAAGAGATAATTTGGTGTTGACTTTCCAAAAATATCATTGATATATAGGTTGAAAATTAGTTGAGGTAAAAATGGTTTTTAATAGAAAAGTGTTGGATTTTATGGGAGAAGAAAAAATGAAAGGGGAAGAAATGTTTGAAACGGATAGAATAGATATATTTTTTAATTATATGTCAAAAGTTAAAAATCGTTGATCGAAAAAAATCAAACTAGACCAATACTCAGTGACTAAAGTAGTACGGACTACGGAGTAATAAACATTTTTTGAAAGAGAAAAGTGCACAGTTTACCCTCGAATTCTATGAAAATTGCACGGTTTACCCCCGAGCATTAAAAAGTGCATCAAATACCCCTAAATTCTTTAGTAATTGCACGCTTTACCCCTGAACAATAAAAATTGCACTAAATATCCCTAAACTATACGAAAATTGTACTGTTTACTCCTGAACATTTAAATAATTAAAGACGACAATTTTGGGGAAAGGTACTTTGGAAAAATCACAAGGGTCAGATAAATCATATTCGCAATTGTTGTGCGTGGAAGCAACGCACTCCCTATCTAATTGTTTAGGACCAACGATGCAACGGTTTAATTTGTTCAAGGGTATTTGGTGCATTTTTTAATATGCAGGGGTAAATCGTGCAATTTTCAAGGAATTCGAAGGTAAACGGTGCAATTTTTATAGTTCAGGGGTAAAACATGCAATTTCTAAAGAGTACAGGGTAAACAATGCACTTTACTCTTTTTTGAAATATACAAAATCATTATGTTCTCTTAGTTATATTTACAAATAACAAATTTGTGAAATTTAGCATTTTTTGTAAATCTAAACATATATGCATCTAATGAATAGACTATACTCTCGATATTATTGTTTACGTTGTCACTTAAATTTGGGCTCAAATCATATTCATTGGTATTGTATACAAGCCAGATTTGGAATTAGGGCATTAGCGTAGCTTATTAGTTAATTACCCTAATTAGCAAATTGGTTATTTTCTCCATCCCTTTTCCCAATCTTACATTTATCTTTTCGTTTTATGATCACATCACAATTTAAAAGCGAGGCAAAAAACATTTGTTATTATAGAAATGGCTTGAATTACACATTTTCTCAATTTGTCAAAAAGAGCAAAAACTTATCTATCCATTCAATTTGTTTGTTTATTTACAGAATATATTTATTTACGAAATATATTTTCAATTTAATTTAAAGATGTGATAGAAATGAAAAATAAAATGTACTCCTCCATTGTATTACAGTATTTGTATCATATCATAATTATTTGTATTGTGTACGTGGTTCACATTCTTCATATTTTATCTTTCTTTTTAATATCAACACCAAGTAAACATATATCTTGTTTTTAAAATTTATGTACCCCACCTCATGTGTCAAAAATAATAGCACATAGGAAATGCATCTTCAAAACTATATCAAAAAATTCAAGAAAAATAGATAGAATATATTTCTTGGTGAAGTTATCAATAAGAACTAGTCAAAAAATTATCAATTAGAATACTTAATGGAAAATGTATACCTCATCCGCCATATACCTTTCTTTTTTGTTACTATTCACATTAATAAATTTTATTCATTTTTTTGCCAATTTGCACTAGTAATTAGACAAAATAATAAAATTATGTCACTTTTGTGTTATTGAATGTTTTACATATTTTTAAACTAAATTAATTTTGTTTTTTAACTTATTGCAATGACAAAAATAATTAAAAATCATCTCAAAGAAGTTCCATAAACTAAAACAAAAACCGTGAGGACTGAAAAGGTATAATTTAATTTCGTGCACAATAAATGCTTTTTTTTAAAGGAACGGACACGAAGAAATGCAACCGAACCCAATTCAAATTATAGAGTGTAGGACTGAGCAAGTACCGAATCGATACCGAAATTTTCCAAAAAAACCGAGAATACCGAACCGAAAAGTACCATCTAAAAAAGTACGAGAAGAAACCGAACCGTACCGAACCGAATGGTCGGTACGGTATTTGGGAACGGTACGAGGTGACGTCCCATACCGAAAGTCCTGAACCGGACATATATACTAAAATATTATAAAAAATAATACCATGGAGTAATATTTTTATATTCCTTCACTAAATAATACTTCCCCCGTCCCCTATATTTGTCCACTTTCATTTTTACACATCATCCAATGCACTTCTTTAATCTATTTTATCTTGTAATTTGTAAATTAAAAAATTATAAAAATTATATATTAATAATCTATATGTTAAGACAAATCAAACAAGGTCACACATGACTATATTTAGACTTACACATTGAAAGAATTTGATGAGTCAAAGTGCTAAGATAAACAGTTCCAAAAGTCAAATCTGGACAAATACAGGGAGACGGAGGGAGTAATTTTTTTAAAAATTGGTTCAAGTTCTATTATGTGTAAATTATACCTTTATTTAAGTTTTAGTTTTTGTGTATGAACATAAAAGTATTCACAAAGATATGAAATACTCCTGTGTTGACGTTCATTTTTTTTAGTTTGTGAATTATAAACTAAGTTTTGATACACATCTCTTGCATTTAAATATTCATTTTTTTAACTTTTCATGTTTTTTATGTGAATCCACTTATTAATTTTCAAAAAGTAGGTATGTAGAATTCACTTATTAACTTTTAACGTGTAAAGTAGGTATCTATATTCATGCCGATTTGTACTGCCGAAACCAAATCATCACGAACCATACCGAACCGATATTTCAGGATCGGGACCAGTACGAAGTAAAATCCAATACCGAACCAAATTATTTGATACGGTATCGAGCTAAATACCGTATCATACTGTACCATGTTCACTCCTAATAGAATGCAGGAAATGTCATCAATTGGGCTTGAGATTATGGAGAAGGCGGGCCGGGAAAAGTAAAATGCAAAAGAGAATTGAAGAATTTGGGCAAATCAACTTATGGCAAAATTAATAAGAAATTGGGCCCGGGAATGCCTTTAATGGGAGGCAAAAAAAAAATCGTCGCCTGAGAGATTCGAACTCTCGCGGGGAAACCCCATGTACTTAGCAGGCACACGCCTTAACCACTCGGCCAAAGCGACGATGTTGTTAGCGGAACATTAAAATAATATATAACCCTTTTGTTCTTCTCGTTGCAGTAAAAAATGTTTGTTTTTTTATTCTCTCAAGGCTTCCGTTTTCTTCCAAAATTCCCAAAACGTTATCAGTCGGCGCAGAAGAGAGAGAGAAATGGGAGTTGTGATTATCGACGGATTAACGGTTCGGAACTTCGTGAACGACGAAGATCTGTTCAACCGGGCGATCGACGACAGGTTCGCCAATCTGGACCTCAACCACGACGGCTTCTTGTCGCGATCGGAGCTGCGGAAGGCCTTCGAGTCGCTCCGCCTCATCGAGTCCCACTTCGGCGTCGACGTCTCCACGCCGCCGGAGGAACTCTCCAGGCTCTACGACTCGATTTTCGAGAATTTCGACGCCGACCACAGCGGCAGCGTCGATCTCGCCGAGTTCAAAAGCGAGGTGAGGAAGATCATGCTGGCCATAGCCGACGGTCTCGGCTCGTCGCCGATTCAGATGGTGCTGGATGAGAGCGACGGCGATAAGAATTTCCTCAAGCAAGCCGCCGACAAGGAGGCGGCGTCTCAGATCTCCGGCTGAATGCCTCAGAAACCAACTATGGATTCGGCAGGTTAACGCGAATCCCCTGAAACGACTGTGTTTGGATTGTAAATTCGGTTGAATAACATGCCTCTGTATATTAAGTAAATAAATTATGCTAAACATTTGTGCGTTTATGATTAATCTTTTAGTATAATGTGATTATTTGTCGTTAATAGAAACATAGAATTTGATGCATAGCTCTGATACAAAAGTATATATATATAAACAAATCAATCGATAACTATTTCTCTAATATAAATCTTGTGGTTCATCGTAACTGGATGGCTTTAGCTGGGAGGATGATCTCTTCAGGTTAGTGTTGGAAATCGTCGGAGGAGCACGGCCGCCGTCTCCGGCGGGCAAGTCGCTGAGGACGGACATCAGGCGGCGGAAACTGACGGAGCGGGCGGGTTTCGAAAAGACGCCGGGGGAGTTGGAGACGATGAAGTAGACCAAAAGTTGGACCACAAGAAACAATCCCACCTTCACCAGCACGCCGCCGCCTTCCATATACTCTATCATGGTATCGATCG